CGAGCTCAGCCTCCCCTCTGATTGTGCAACCCCTCAGTAGCTGGATGGAGTGCGGGCAATAAGCGTGTGCCTGTTACTATCTCAGTATGTCACCAATGTAATGTTTGTAGACCCCTTCATTTCATGTCCTCGCCTTCCATACTCCAGGTAACTTGTTTCACGTATGTGTATAAAGATATTTAGGCTCGCTGGTCTCGTCATGAAACTGCAATGAAAAAGCACCAGGGGAGGCAGCTATCACATCTGCCTCACCGAGGGGGACATGTCTAACACGCCCCCCTCAATGAGGACACGCCCCCTCAGTGAGACCACGCCCCCCTCAGTGTGTGAATCTGGCTCTGACACTAGCAATTGCCTCCCCAGCCATTGACCTCACCGCACGTCACTGCTATACATTCACAGTCTCATATAGTGACCATAAACACGGGCATATATCTTGTGCCATCTTACACCATGGAGTTAGAAACCGGTTATTGCCTCCTACTTTTCACTGCAGTGCAGCACAGGTGCAAGCAATCCGTCGCGGTCATAACCAATCACGTCCCGTCAATGTTGTGACACAACCGACGAAACAGAAGGCGCACACATGCGAATCAGAATCTTTATTTAGATTGGAGGAATCCGTTGAGCTGTGAAGCTCTTTTCGACAGATTTCCAGTCGGGGCAGGGAGCGGTAGTGTAAGGTGCTTGCTAACAGCACTTGCCCCAAGGGGTTTGTGAAGGTTATACGGGGGATCTTTGTCTTTGTAGTGGTTAACACGCTGCGCTACTAACTCGGCGACACGGATTAGATTCCCGCTCACGGCCACCAACACTGGTGACGATTATCTAAACCCAGTCCTGGGCCTCCCCGAGGTCGACTCAGCCTCAAGTGAGTACCTGGTGTGGTGTGTAAACATCGCCACTGGGGAGACAAAGGCGGTCGCGCGTGGTGCTGGCCACCCACCCCCTCGTGTGCTGTGCTGGCGTTAATAGGTGCTCGCGAACGGCACTTGCCCCAAAAGTATATTAGGACTATAAGGGACACATTTATCTTCTTCGTCTTAACATAGGAGAGTTGAGGCCCTTCTGGGCAATGGAACGCTTTAATAAAGTCTTTTGAAGGAGAGATGAATCACCTGTGCGATCTTGCAGCATCTCCTGATGAAATACGATGCAACTGCTCCCCATTGATGCGCTATCTATAAAATGCTGGCCCGAGTTTTCTCCACGGCAGAGGAACATGTGGTGCTGATGAGCTTCCTTCCACGATCACAAGCCGGACATCTCAGGCAACATGAGCTTGTCCGAGCTTTCAACTTAATTTGACGGCTATGGGAAATTTTTATTATAAATATTCATTTCAAAGCAGTGTTTTCTAATGCATTATTTAAGCAATATCGGCAAGTTTCTCTTGGATGAATCACAGCTGATTAGTCGATGGCCAGATTAGCCTGCGGGAGATGGCTCCAGGTGGTTTGTGGTGGATTGCCTCAATGCCCATGTTGAATTCTTGTACGCGACTGTGGTCCGTAACTCTGTGGTCTACGGTAGGTGTTTTCGCAATCACCTGCCGACCTTTCTTTTGGCATTGCTTCCCTTGTTTATCGACTGTATTTCATAGGTAATCGCTTTTCCAAGGACGGCCTGAATCAATTTCTTGCTACCAGAGTTACTAGTTCCAGGAAGTATGACTATGGAGGCTTTCGCTTCACATACTGGACGCCGCGCCGGATAACTCCCCCATGCGACCCGAAAGCTGAACGGAGAGGTGCACAGGACAACCGCGACAACTTGCCTGCGCAGTCGTGATAACTTTGGAGTAGACAATAATGTCAATCTTGATGTAAAAAAAAAAATATGCAGTCTCAAAAAAACAAGTGACCTTTCATCCTTAGGGAAATACCCAAGTAGTATTCTAGGGGCGGCCTACCTAGGCTGAGTATCTCAGGCTGTCTGACATAAATTCTAGATTTGAAGCTTTCGTGACTGCAAGGGTTCATACTCTTAGGTTTTTTCGGTAAAGTCACGAAGGTAAAAAAAAATTATTATTATTTATTTTTAAAAATAAATAATATTTTTTTTTACCTACGTGACTTTACCGAAAAAACCTAAGAGTATGTCTGACATAAAGTTTGAAACATCATTAAAGAGGACACTTTCCTGAGTGAATTGCCATGTAGTAAAATCGATACATTTTTAAAACAGGAGTATGTACAAATGCTCTCCAAAAATAGTGGCTTTGTATACATATTGAATTATAAAGCCCAGTCAAAATAAATTCAAACATTTTGTGGCGAGAATTTTATGGGGTTTTTTTTTTTTATCAGTCAGGCCAGTCAGTGTATCCCCAGGCTTGAACATTCACTGGACGCAGTTGTTGCCAGTGCCGAGCTGCTGCTGGGAACTGTAGATGCTTATCACAGGCACCTCATTACAGCCCAGAACAGTTCACTTGTCACGGCAGCAGACTTCAAACGGTGCGTTTAGATCACAGCCATTGCATAACTCTGCTCAGGGCAGTCCATAGAGGTGGTGGTGGAGGAGGGGGGTGCGGGCCAGGGGCAAATCCCACCACGTGGGCCCCCCTGACGCCTGTCGAAACGCGGGGACACCCCAAAGCACGGGGCCCGGGGCAGTCGCCCCGGTTCGCCGTGTACCCTGGGGACGGCTCTGATTCTGGCCCCTCCTGCCTCCCGGACTGACCAAACGCAGGCTGCCTGTTGAGTGTCACTCGGTGGGAAGTCAGCAACGGTTGTCATACGGAGAGACCGGCAGCTGGCATTTACAATTTTCATAACCTGCAAATGGCGTAGGGCCACCAGTGGAAATATCCCGCAATAGATCCTCATTTAAGCATTTGACTTTTATTAAGAGTATTATACTGTGTGAGTAGACAGAATACACTGTGCAGCCAAAGTCAAATTCTGCAATAATACACCATTTAAACTTTAAAACCATTGAGCACAGGGCATTATATGGGATAAACCCATAATACACCACGTGGTGCTGTTACAAAGCCTAACTCTTAGCCAAATCCTTGAAAGCCATAGTAGTGAGTACTTTTATTATTTGGAATTTGGACCACAACTAAGGGTTGTCACCTGTTCTGTTTTTTTTCCCCAGGATGATCTTTCGAGGTGGCCGTCTTGGGGGAAACTGTGCGTCTTCCTGGGACAAACAGAAATTCCCGTTTTCTTTCCGCTGTGAAATGGGGCATTGTCAACGAGTGGCTCAGGGCCACGGATGGAAATGAGCGACAACCACAGCGCTTGCTGTGTGACTATTCAATAATCGCCTGTATCTACCACCTCTGTTCAATCTATTTAAAAAAAAATATTTTACCAAGTAAGTCCCACTGAGCTTTATAGCTCTTTTTCAGAAGCGACCAGGCCACAAATGATAGCTCACCGAAGTGGCTTATCAGGTGCAAAATTGATAGCAGCCAATTACTCTAAACCCATGCTTCTAAATGCGGAGGGCAAAACTGGAGTACCCGGAGAAAAATCCACGCGATCACAGGGAGAACATACAAACTCCGAATATACAGCAGGCGTCAGGATCGGGATCGAACCCACGACCTCCTGTATACCAGGCGAGGTAGTTAACATCTCCTAGCCACCGTGGCGCCCAACAGTATGTATGGGAACACCACAGTTAGTGGATCAGAGGGCCGTGTGTGGTGGGGTAAAGTGTGGGCACTCCCACCTCTTCCAAGCGGTCTGGTCAGCGTAGAAGAGTAGGCCAAGTGCCCTCTACAGGGGCTCTCAAGCTCCTTCTTTGTGAAAACCCTTCCGTCAGTAGTGGCGCAAGAAAGAAATGTCAGGGCTGTATTTTTACTTTTGTTCACCTTGTGATGCAGCAATCAGCAGATATCAGTTATTCTTCTTTTAAATGATCATTGGGCCGTAAGAGCAACAGCCACATTGTGCAAGCTGACTCGTTAGTGAATGCTAAATTCTATGCTGACCTGTAGCTTTTAAACAGGCATTGCCAATTAAAAGTCTGTGCGCCACACACAATATGCGCATCATCAACAACACCTTATGATGAGGATGATTTTTCACAAATTCCTAAACCCACTTTTTTTAGCACCCCAATCACGGACAGCAAACCTTTATAAGGTATTTAAAAATGTCACGCATATAAATTTTTTATCAGGATTGTGTTGCGTTAACTTTCTCGTATGAGAATTTCTCTCTGATTCATAATTCACTAATCCACAAATATGTGATTCAATACCCCAACATCCCTGCTGATACCTGCTGGTGTGTATGATGATATAACTAACCATGATTGTAAATAAGATCTATAGCAGCCTCACCAGCTATAATCACCTCACCTGTCCAAGCCTCGCTAGAGAAGAGTAAAACATCTCGACAAAATACATAAACTCACTGTGGAATATTGCAAGAGCAAATCTCGACACAAAGTGTCACCCTGACGGCAACTTTTCCACAATTCCAAATAATAACGCAACGCATGCCTACATTATACGAAGTGTACGCAGGCATTGCTACGTACGTAATTCAACCAACGAATCGATTGTCCGATTGATTAAAGACGTAAACACAATCACGTGGATCAACAACCCCGCAGACGTTATAATGTTTGCTGCCCTCTACAAATGTTCTTCCCTTCTGGCGCTCCAGATTTGACGACATTTCTGAATTGCGCCGTCCTCACGGACACCTTTGCATACCAACACCGACTGATGCAATCGCTCACGTCACTTTTATGGTCACCCATTTGCATTAATAACACGTATTGTGTATATATATACATACACGTACACACACACACGAACTTAACAAGAACGTCTTACATTCCCGAATGACGGTCATTGCTGTGTGCTTAATAAACATCGGCGTCAAAGGGAGGGAGTTAGTGAACGGCTCGGCACAATGAGGCAAGTGGCAAGTGAGCCGTTAATTCTGTTTAACCCCCGTGCAAGGCAATCATTTGCTTTACGGCCAAAGTAGCGGCGCGGCGAACACGTACACGGAGCATCACGCACTAACCTGTCCCCGTGTGCAGGCTCTGGCAAGCTTCACGGCGTCTTGGATGCGCCTCTCAGGAGACCACCTTTCACGAGCCCTTCAAGGTGCCCCGGACAACGTTGTGACTTGGGGTTTGGCAGTGGGCGTCCTTTGGGGGGGGGATTTATGACTTCACGCAGACGTCTCCACACAGCCCTCCACGAGGCCCTAAGTTCCCCCTTGACGCGCCCATTGGCCAAGCACACAGTATGGGCGACAAGAAGCCTCGTCGCCCAAATCCTGAAAGGTCCCACCGCCCCCCCCCCCCCCCCTGAAGCCAAATCTCCAGAGTCGGAAAGCTTCGGCTGCGCAAACTCCGCAGGAAAAACTGCGTGGAAAACCCAAGCCCCCCATCCATCCATCCTCAACCATCACCCCCACCTCAACCATCCTCTCCCTCCCCACCCCCAGCCACTCCACCTCAAATCCTTCTGCATATGGAGCCATGCAAACAAAGCGAGCCTACTTAGTTAACAAAGGACCACCGGAGTATGCCTTACTCATGCCCTTGGAATGCGGTGCAATTAAAATCTCTTATCTCCCTTTTTTTAGAGGGGGGGGGGGGGTAAAATCCATTTGCTGGGAATTGCTCCTAAACTTTTGTTGTTCAAACATATTTGGGAGGAGAGAGAGGACTGCACAGCAGGAAAAGGTCCTATAAGCCTTGTTTAATGTCACTGTCATACAATGAAGGTCTTTTTGTCGAGAGAATGAATTAGGTTTCATTGGTCTATATGGCTGTGAACATTGCCTGAAATAACAGGTTCATGGGCCAGGCACCTGCTCATAAACCAACACCACTCTCTGGGTCAGGATCACCATTCTGGTCAGAATGGCATGAAACGTTAATCTAGGTGTGATGCCAAAGTTTGTAAATGTAGGATGTTAGTTTGGAAGGCACCTCCTTACTAGCACGGTTGGCTGTGTACGGCGCGAAAGAAGTTCAACATACTAACGTACAAGTTTCATTTAAATTTGTTATTGTATAGTGATTCAAGAATATGATTAGTTGCAAAATGTATCTTTGTTGAGAATCAGAGACCATTCTCTTTGCATGGAAAGATCGCACGCAACCTCGGTGCAGAGACCAAACCCAATATCACAGCAGCAAAACACAAATAACAATTTTTTAATTTTGATTTAAAGCTTTCGTGACTGCAGGGATTCATATTCTTGGTTCTTTCGGTAAAGTCACGTAGAAGGCAAATAATAAAATAATATAAATATAAAACAATAAAAATTCTCACGACGTTTCGACTGCAACACCTGCTGATGATTGTTTGTGTTGCAGTCGAAACGTCGTGAGAATTTTTATTGTTAAATATTTTTATTATTTTATTATTTCCCTTCTACGTGACTTTACCGAAAGAACCAAGAATACAAATAACAATGTTTACTGTGTAACAAAGTACAGAAATAAAGGACCTCAAAACAATTTACTTAACGTGATTAGCAAAGACTTTTTTTTTATTCCTCAACAATAAATTCAACGAAATATTCCCAACGTTGCATTAGCGCAGTCAACCATTCAGCAGAGCATTTAGACTCCTCTGAGCTCCGAAATATTTCTTTATTGCGTTGTTCATTCACGATTAATCTTGTAATGCTGTCGCATTTTTTTGTTTCTTTAAACCAATGTGTGGGGATTACGACATTCTTTGGCGGTTATTATTTCGCGCCGGGAGTCGGGCAAATCTGCCGTAGGGCCCAGTGCCGGATTAAGCTAGTGCGGGGCCTGTTGCATATGTTATAAAGGGGCAATAAATAAATAAATAAAGCACATAAATATTTAAACACGCAATGTTTTACTTGCACAGTAACGTAATTGTAGTTTTTCATTTGCTATACAGCCAGCTAATACGACAAATCGCTAACCTTAAACACCCAGTCCTTCATAAAAGTTGAAGGCGGTATAGTACTATAGTAATAGAGCAAGTGCAGAATCACTGAACCGGAATTGATAGCTTTGAAAGCATTTAGCGCGGGGCCCTTGAAAGTGCGGCGGCCCGTAGCTACTACATATGTAGCAACTTTTGCTACTAGGATATAATCCGGCACTGGTTGGGGCCGCGCCGGGAATTTAGCGGCGCGGGTCGCATACGATGAGGGTGCCTCCTTCTCCCAGCCCCGGTGCGTTGCTCCCAGGACTGCGTCCGCCGTCTCCCTGGAGAACCAGAAGCACGTGCACTCCTCCACTGCCCTCGCCGCCACTCTCCGCCTCGCCCTCTCTTGCTGGCCTGCTTCAATCGTGACCTCATCTGGATACTCGCATGACAACCACTCCAACACCACCCCAACACCACAAGCCAAACTAAACAATGATTTTATTTTTTTGACCAGGCAAGGCCCCCCCCCCCCGCCACTTGAGCTACATAGCTCTTTTTCAGAAGCGACCTGGCTATCACAAATGATAGCTCGCGCGAAGTGGCCTATCACCGTGTGGAAATATATAGCAGCCAAATGCACGAAAAGCATGTCGATTCTAAATGTGGAGGGAAAAACCGGAGGACCAGAAGAGAATTCCACGCGACAATGGGGAGAGAGAGGCACGCAAATTCCAAATATACAGCAGCAGGCATCAGGGTCGGGATCGAACCCACGACCTCCTGTATACCAGGAGAGGTAGTTAACATCTCGTTACCCTCTTGGCCTCGCGGTCCCATTCCACCTGAAACAAACGCCACACTTCTTCACGGAGTCGAGCAGTGATTTAAGTGTCCACTAGCTTTTGGGCATTTGTGTGGGAGAGAAATAAAACACGTTCACTTGAAATGCTAACCCTGAGCAAATGGGTATTCCGTGGTCGTGCGTAAAAAAAACTACCCCATAAACACCACAATGCTCAATTGTAGGCGGCACACCTTTTGCTCCCACCACGAGAATGTGTCCCAGGGTCACCGACAGAGGTGTGCGCCTTCCCACTACTCGTTTGAGTCGGGAGACCCCTTTGCCTTGACTCTGCGCAGTTGGTTGCGCGCGTGGGGAGAGCAGTCTCGTAGCGTTTGTAACGGTTACCTCTTTAATTGAGCTCACTAACACCAATGGTGAGGTCACCGGTGGCTTCCCCGATCATGAACTGGCCTGGGCCCCGCGTTCATTGTTCGTGAGAACGAAGCAACAGGGGCTCGTAAATGCGCACACATTTACCCGAGTTTTCTGCATTCCAGTCAAGTGATGTTTAATCAGTGTGGACAAGTTCAGAGATTTTACACTTTTCTTTCAAGAGTCTTTGCTTGGTGAAAGGAATCATACAACGTTCATGTAATGATCACATTTTATATCCTGATGCATTTTGATGTAAAACAAATACCCAAACTAGTTTATGTAAAAGGGCGTCATCGTAAACTTGTGAACACAGCAGAGCAACTTGAAATAAATCTGTATTGATTTTTTGTTTAAACGTAAGCAGTTTAATTATTACAGTTGATTTATTGTGCACTTTGACTTCGTCATTCTTGTTCAGTGCTGATGCACCTCGGATATCCCTGGCAAACTAGCGGGGTAACTGGCTACACGGGACTTTTAGTGTAACAAACAACCATTGATTGACTGGTTAATTTAAATGGCCAGCAGCATTTTCACTGATAACTCATGGCAGGATATGCAGCTGTGGAGTGCTGTGGGTAAGAACAGTCCATGAATAATCTGAGCCTGGAAAGCCCATAGGCAGATATTGATCTATTATATGAATAAACATACTTAGGGCGAGACATCGTTAAGATATTCAATTATCAATCACAACATAATTTGATTAACTTATCTGCTCTGAAAATCCGGCAAATGCTTTTAAAAGTATGTTATCTGTGTGTTGTGTAAAAAAAATAAACAGTTGTGCAGTGGCGTGCACTCTTCGCTACATACCCGTCAAAAACACAACCTTAAATGGGTACCTGGTGCTGTGTGTAACCATCAGCACTAGGGAGAAAAAAGACGACCGGGCATGCTTCTTTAGAAACATGCGTTTAGGGTATTTGGCAGCTGTAAATCTCCACGTGATAAGCCACTTCATTGGGATACCATTTGTGACCAGGTCGTTCCTGAAAAAAAAACTATATTGCTTAGTGGGCCTTACCTGGTAAAATAAAACATCGCTTGTGTGCCCTGTTGACCTTCATGAGTGCTACTCGCTAACAGCACTTGTCCCAACAGCCAATTAAGGCGATAGGGAGGGATATTTGTCTTGGTAGACATGCCAATGTACAGATTGGTCCAGATGTCTTGTGACCCACAATTAATTAACCCCAAACATTTCGTTTCCTTTCCATATTAAATTTTGTTTTAAATAAACCTTACTTTAAATATATATGACGTTTCTCGAATTAAATGGGGGGTTACAAGACATCTGGATCACCCTCTATATATTTCCTAGGTCCCACAAGATAGGCGAGGGCAATTGTTGAACTCCCGCACAGAGAGAGAGCAGAAACTTGCTGTGTGCAGGACGGCACTGCCACTTAGAGGCAAGTCGGTGGGTATCTGGTCCACAGCATTGCCCGACCACAGCCGGACGTTCAGCATTGGCATCCCACAGCTCGTCTCTCGAACAAAAAAAATTGCATTTAATCACGTGCTAAGTCATAGCATTTTAAACAAAGAGATTTCTGTAATTGCTTTTAGAAAGTAATTTCCAGTATATATTCGCCTTCTTTGTGTAATTTTTCAAAGGAGGAAAAGTTAAAATTGCTTTCGCTAAAACCTAAAAATAAATCCATACAGAATACATCTGAGGTGTATAATGCACGGCATGCTTTGTTTAATCAGCTATTTTATGAATCAGTTACTTGAAGCTACGGTACAAGTCAACCTTCAGAGCGTCCGGCTACTTGCGGGTTAAACAGACGTGGCTATCTCGCGTTCTCTCTCTCTCTTAAATCCTGGCCGCCCTAATTATCTTGGTGTCACATGCGATGTTGTCCTTTTAGTTGATTTATATGGTCAAACTTGAAACACCTTGTCAGACTCTGCCGCGAGCGTTTCGTTGCAGACTATTCTCTGAATGTTATCTATGGGACATTCATTATTTTGTTGTTGCCAGTACTGTATAACATTTTACGGAGAGAAAAAATATAAGAATTGTCGTTACCCTTTCTGGCAATGAAACAGGTGTTTAAGATGTTCAAACACCAAATAGACACCGATTACAAATTATCAAGGCTGCGTTAACCACACATTCCTGTGGTAAAACATGCAAAC